GTATTAATATAAATATTATATTGTAGAAAAATTAATGATAGAAATAAACATGTTAAGTGTTTGTTAAATACTAATAAAATCATTATTAAAAATGTTTTAATTGCTTTGCTTTTTTATCCCCTTCATTTTATTATTGTAATTTTTATTGATTTGACAGATTTTTGCCTATCTTGTTACATTCTGTTTGTTACTTAATCAAACAACTGCTTTTCTTTCGCAGGCTTCACTAATTGAGTTTTATGAAAAGTGTATTTGAGAATCTATGTACAATTTTCTTGCCCTATACCTTTAAATTTTCAAACGTATAACTTTATCATACAATTTTATTTCTTACTCGTTGCTCTTTTATTAAAAAGAGAATAATTCTAATTGGAAATTGGTTGCTATTTTATTACAGATTTTTTAAGTTTTAAATATGTACACTTGTAGATATTTTGCATATTTAATGAGAATTTTCTCTCTCGCAGTAATTGAAAAGGGTTATATATTATAATTATGAAATGGAAACATCTGTTATGCAATTAGTGCATAAACTGTAACCATTTATAATAATAAAAAATATCATTAAAATATTAGTGTATTTAAACATAATTACAAAGCCAAAATTCATTTTATCTAAATATATCTCCTTTTAAACTTTTTCATTTTACATAAACTAATATTTTCATTTAAAACTTTGACAAAATGTTAGAGGAGTAATAATATATATAAAATCTTTCTTGGTATAAGAGTTATGTCTCATATCTTCAGTAAAATTGTCTTTTTTGATTTAATAGTTAAAAATTATTTAACATTTTTTCTGGAGAAGGAAAAATAAAAACTGCTTTACATTGCATAAGTCATCTTCATCAAATTGCAGTTTTCAAACTCTCAAACACAAACCTGTATTTACTTTATATAATTCTTAGTGTTAAATGGGTGTTATCTGATGATAACACCATTTAACACTAATTTCAAAGGTAGAAAAAATGGTCTTGCCAAATTGATGTTTGACTATACTTATTGTAATATATTTGTTATACTGTGCTTTCATCAATTTAATCTTGGAAAAAGTTATTTTGAAATTCTTTACTAATTATTTTGTTGTCTGTCTAGTATATCTGACAAAAATAATATGCATTTTGTATCGGAAGACCACTCAAACTACTGTAGTTTAAAATTATTTCAGAAGAAAAAAAATGCTTACAAAAATTAATTTCAATACAATAGTTGCTTGGTTTTATAATAATTAGAAAAAATTGTTGTTTGGTTTTATTGAATATTTGATATTTTAGTATTATTGAAATAAATTTTAGAAAAATTGGAATATGGAGAAGAGAGAGAGTGAATTATTTTTGAAATTTATATATAATTTACCCATGTATTTTGAATGTAATAATTACATAAAACTATGCTAATGATGAAACACTTATATTAATAATATTGATAGTGTATTTTTATTCTATATTAACTATCTTATTCTTATGCTTATCTCATCAAATACACTTTTAAATTATTAGGTATGCTTATTTGTAATACATATTATCATTGTTGTTTCCTCTCTCAAATTATTCTGTGCTGATTGGACTATTTAATATTCTTTACTGAGATGTGTAAGGAATAGGATTCCATTCTATATAAGATCTAATGCTTGATGATAATAATACAGGATTTGATGATACATAGTTAATACAGAATGCTTTTCAGTTAAAATAATCATTATAGTACTAAAATGTTTTTACACTCTGAATTACTTATTGTATCACAGTAAGGAGTAACATGTTTTAATTTTGTTGGAATTAATTGCACTACACACTATTTATATTTGACAAATCATTTTATTAATGATAAAAATAAGAGAGACAGGCTTTCTAAAATTCTTAGGCGATCACCATTTTATTTTCTCTCATGTTCTAGAACAATGTCTTTTATTTTTATTTTTATCAAAAATTTTACCATCCAACAGAATCTCAAAAACAAATCTTTTCATTAATATCAATTATTCTTTGATTATATCTTTCTAGTACAGTGGTACCTCAGGATACGAAATTAATCCGTTCTGAAACTGAGATCGTATCATGAAAATGTCATAAGGTGAATCATTTTTCCCCATACGATTATATGTAAAACCAAATAATGCGTTCCAACATGAAAAACACACTCAAATTAAAGCTAAGTAATACATTGAAAAAAATAACTATAGTAAGCAAAACACTGAAAAATGTGTTTTGTAGTTGTAAATGTATAAATAACCACAATAGAATAATAATTGATAAAAAAAGTTAGTTTTATTTGCACTTTACCTTTGAGGATAGACGACGGTGGAGGTGTAAACTGGTGGCGGAGGAGAGGGAGAAGGGAAATGATACTAAAACTTAACTTACATAACATAAAGTAACAATAACTTAAAAATAACTTAGAAAAGATTAAAAAAAAATTAGTGTTGTTTTATATATACAGTGGTACCTCGGTATACGTCTGCTTTAGAATACGTCCAATTCGGAATACATCCTGTTTGAATGAAACAATTTTGCTCGGTATACAACTTAATTCAATTATACGCGCCATCTATGAACAAGTATCACTATCTGTGTATTAGACCAGACTAGACGTTTGCGGTGTCATGATTTATAACTTTGTTAAATTTCTTCTGATTTTAATTTGTAAGTAAAATTTTATTATTTTTATTAATCATGAATTGCAAAAAGGCAACAGAAAAATAAAAAAAATGACTAGAATCACAATGGAACTGAAAAAAGAGATTGTTGAGAAATATGAAGGTAGCATCTATGTTCGAGATTTAACTGTTGCACACCGTATTCCGAGAACGACGATATTAACAATCATGAAAAATAAAGACATTATTAAATTTGCTAGCATTGCGAAAGGGGTTAAATCAGTTTCTAAACAGAGATTGAAGACATTAGATCATGTTGAGAAATTGCTTTTGCTTTGGATAACTGAAAAACAGTGTGCTGGCGACAGCGTATCGGAAGAAATTATTTGCGAGAAAGCTAAAAAGATGCATGATGATCTCATGAAAAATCAAGCAGGAACTAGCCAGGAAAGCGAGGTGTTTAAAGCCAGACATTTTTTTACATGAGAACGGATTAATCATTTTACATTACTTCTTATGGAAAAGGTTAGTTTGGTATAGGTCCTATTCAGTATAAGTCCAAACATCAGGAACGGATTGAGGTCATATACCGAGGTTCCACTGTATATTTTTTTTAATTTTTATTCACTGCTTTTTGCTTTCTTTCCTTTACTTCCACCAGCACTTTCACTGGATAGAGGTTGCTTGGTAAAATATCTATCCAAAGAGGTTTGGCTTTGCCTACTTTTTAAAATGTTTCTAAAATGACTTAGGCAAATGTCATTAAACTGAGCAGCAATACGGCCAGTGTGAACCTTTTCGGGATGTTTCTTTTCAATAAAATCAGTCACTTTCTGATAATACCTCAAGATTTCCTTTATCAAGCAAGATCCTTCCACTACGAAGCAAACACATGGACTGAGACCGATGAACAGAAGTGAATAATTATCTATCTAAGATTTAGAGAACAGCAGTGAATTTTGTTTTTAGTTCTAATACTAGCTAGTTGTACATTTTAAAACAATATATCCTTTTTAGCTTATGTTTCTTGAATACATAGACCAGGAACAACAGATACACTTTTATACTCAAATACAGTAAATTTTCACATAATGTCATTCATTGATAGGTTCTTGAAAACTGATTTTATACAAAATGACCAATCATGAAACCAGTTTCACCACAGGCTAGTTGATATAAATTAGAATGAAGTTCTTATGGCATATTTCTGGTCACAAAAAATGGAAATTACAAAGACCTAAACACTTCTAATATTAAACAATGAAATGAAATGTGAGCTATAATATATTTAAGAACAATTAAGGAAACAAGTAAGATGATGATTTACCCAATTTTTTTATGGATCACCGAGTGACAGGTCATAGCAGCCATGGTGGTGGGTGGTATGGAGAAGGGAGGTTTAATCCTGAGTGCTGTACACTTTACAAATTTTTATCTTGTGGTTAAATGTATTTATTCACTCATTATCCAGTCTGCTTATTCCAGTTCATGGTTGTGGGTGTTTAGTACCTATTTGCTTATTTTGACAGTCCAGGATGCAAGGGTGGAAAACATCCCTGGATAGGATGTTTTCTCTCTCTCTTAGCTATCCTGGGAAAATTTAGATATGCCAATTAACTTAGCATTCACTTATTAGAGATATTGGAAAAAAAATCACAGTACCTGAAAACAACTTGCACAGACAAATATAACATGCAAAACTCCATACAGACAATGCTATTCAACCAGGAATCAAGAAATTTAGATACTGTAACTTTTTCAGATAACTTTTGCATGTTATCTGTTGATTTTAACTTGGAATTACAAACTTATCAAACAGGCTTGTCTAAAGCCACCAAAAGTGTCTTTTAGAAAACAGATTCCTCTCTACACAGCTGACATATCCATCTGCCTTGCAATTTTTTTCCTAAACCACAAAAGATAGGTACTGAACATGTATGTCTCACTTTGTTATATCCTATTTACTTTCTGTGCAGTATATTTTAACTATTATTATTATTATTATTATTATTATTAAACTGCTTGAATTGTATCTTAAAAGCTAAGTTTTTATAATTTCTTCTGTACTAGACCTATTTAAAAGGTTATAATATTTTTAATAGTTGTTAATGGGAATATTATTTTCCTTTTTCAAATTATCATTTTTGGACCTTCCTAATGTTTGGATAAAATGAATTTTAAAGTAACATACATTAATTATCTTCGGTAATTGTTGCTTTGCAAATGCACTGTGAAATTATATTAAATATATAATATTTTTCAAAAAAGAATATGTAATCTACCATATCTGATACTAAGTCATTGTTTTGAATTACATTTTGTTTCATTGATACTTAAACATAGGTTATTTTTAGTCTATTAAAATAATTTTTTAATATGACGGAATTACATTAATGAAATAACTTTTAAAATATAAAATTTTTATTTTATCAAAAATATTAGGCAATGGAGCATCTTCAGAACTTTATAAATGAATGTGACCGTCGCACTGAACAAGCAAAACGGAGATTAGCTGAAACTCAAGAAGAACTTAGTTCAGAAGTGACTCTTAAGGTAAATTTTAATTCTGCATTAACACTTATTATAAATTATCTTTAAGTAATAAGCATAATTTTAAAATTCACTATTGTTTTATTGTTTGTGTTTAACTATTCTCTGCATATTAAGACAATAAATAGATTATCAGCACAAAACCTTTCTCACTAATTTCTAGCCTTATTAACTGGAGTACAAACGTTTTCGGCCTTCTTAATAGGCTAGGGTACACATTTGTACTCCAGTTAATAAGGCTAGAAATTAGTGAGAAAGGTTTTGTGCTGATAATCTTAGAAATAGTTCTAGCTACATATGCATAGTAGACAATAAATACAAAGTTTTTTTATATTTGGAAATGTAAGAATATTATATGATGATTTGGCATTTTTTCACAATTAAAAAATATTCAAAAAATGAAGTTATATTAACTAATTTCCAACATCACATTGTTACATATGATAATCATCATTCAATGTCACTTTTCTGGTTTCCTATTGTTTATATCAAAAGCATGTTTTTTTTTCATAGCTAATAAAACAGACAGACAGTAAAAATAAAAGTTATAATGTAAGAACAATAAAATCATAAACTAAAAGAATAATTAGTTGAATTTTAAAAACAAACTTTAAATTTATTTTTGACATACAGCAATTTCAAAAAACAAAATAGTTTTAAAGAAGAGAAAATGCATTTTTAATAGAAAATGAATAGACAAAATGTATGAGTTTGTGAAATTTACAATTGTTTATTATAAAAATTGCATTGATTTAGAAAAAAAATTGTTATTTTGCTCATTAAGGCATGAACCAGCAATATTGAAAATATGAGTAAGGCATGCTACTGCCAAACCATGGTCTTTAGTGAAATGTTCTTATAAGTAAAACTTATAAGTCACTCAGGATTTTTTAACTGATTTTTTTTGAAAACATTTGAGAAGTGCACTTTCTCCCTTTGCCCAATACCACACAAACAATATTATTGAAATTCCCATGGAACACATCATAACCTCTCCTTGTTAGATATAATAAAACTATTTCACATTTGTAACACCTACAATTAAACTATTAAAAATCTATATTCATGCATACATTTGGTGAATGATGTTTGATTTTTTAAAATTATAATCTTTATCCATACACAAATTAAGATAGTTTATCATAAATAATAATAATAAATTGGTTTACGTAATCCATATGATACAGTACTAAACTTTTATTTTGAGAAGTGTTATCAGTTGATTTTGGAGTTAGAGACTGGTAACTAAACACTTATTCCAAATTTCAAAAGAATACTTTTGAATATGCGATAAATGAAATATAGAATAATATCTATAAGTACTTATCCTAAAATCATTATTTTTGAATGTACAGTTATGAGTGTATTATAAAAATCTTGGATATATAATGAAAAGTTACATTGCAGAAAGTATTGAAATTTATATTAAAAAATTGTAATAAACATTGTGGTGTAGAATTAAAAAGGACAAACATACATTAAGCAATAAGGTGGTAATTGAATTTGTGCAATTTTTTAAATACTAAAAGCATTTATACATAAAGTAATTTCTTTTAACAGCTGAATCGTGTTCACGAATTAGCAGAACAAATTGGAAAGAAGTTAGCTGAAGCAGAGAAACAAGGTGCAGAAGGTAATGTGGAAGAATCACTGAAATTGATGGAAGAAGTCGAAGAATATCGGAAACAAAAAGCTACCGCTGAGGTGAAATGTCTTATCCATTTAAAATATTTACCTTATGTAAAATATTTCAATAAAAAATAATCAAAAATACCAAATTAACAACATAATAAAATCTTCAAAAATAGGCAGATAACATTGAAAATCAAGCTTCAGGTGCCATTTTGCTGTGTAATAAATTAGAATTAAACTTTGATGCTTCATATTAGAAAAATATTTTATTTTTGAGATTTCATTCTTGACTTTTTACAACTATTCTATTTTATTTTTTTTTATTTCTAATTCTTTTTTGTTCTTCAGGCAATGTGATCTTTCTCCATTCTGTGGTTCACCAGGAATGGTAAGGGATGGATTCACATTCAGATCAACTCACTTTTAGAATTCTCTGAGATGGCACAGACATGAATCTGGGCCCTCTTGAAAGTAGCAGACTGATACCTTTACCAACTCTGCCATCACTATTTAGTTTTTCTTCAAGAAGTCTATATTTATTCAAACATGTAATGTCAGTGAAATTAATGTAGATTTATTATATTACATATAATTCATGTGTTACACTTCTTCNTGAAAACCAAAATGAGTAGTTATAAAAATAAAGAATTAAAAGTAAATTTTATAAAATAGTTATAATACAATGCTTTATTATTTTATAATGCAATAAGGAGATGATTTTTATATATATAGTAGTTTGCTTTGTGTTATTTTGTAGACTGATGTAATCTTATCAGTCAACTTATACAGTATTTTGAATATTAAAGAGTAGTAATTAACTGAGTAATTTGTGTAATGATAGCATTATAACATGTATCTAATGATTAGTGATGATATAATTGGCATAATTTTGAAATTATATTTTATTATTTAAATTTTATATTTTTTCTATAAAATAGTATATAAGCATTTTTACAATATGGAAGAATTCAAAGCACAGAGCAACAAATGTTTTCAATTTAAAGTTATCTTAATAAAAGCATCTAAGAATTAAAATAAAACTGAATGTTATATACCTTGTCAGCTGATTGTTAGATTAATTATGTCAATACAAACAGAAATGTTAAAACAAACAATAAAAATAAAAACAAAATGTTTTTATTAATTGTTTAAAATCGTACATAACATGATGTCAACATCATCTTGGATAGATCAACACAGACAGGTGCGCACACAATGATTAAATTCTACTTTTGGTTGTGTTTATCAGATTGTGGAGTGGAGGTAGGGCAAACCCGTAAAACATCATTAAAATGTATTGTCATCACATGTAGGTATGTCCTCAAAATTTCAGCCTTCCATCTTAATTAAAAGTGGATGAAATTTGATTTGCTTGATTTGACGACATGATATAAACAAAATAAATAAAATCATTTAAAATCAGATCATATCGATATATTACCGATTAGATACCTATCAATGTAATTGTATTTTTAATTACAGTAGAGTGTCATTTATCCGAATTAATTGGGGACTGAGGTTGTTCGGATAACTTATTTTTCGGATAACCGATTATGTATGAAAAAATATATTAACCTATCCCGTGTTGAAATATCCATTGTGTGTTGCTTTGCATTGAATTTTCGTCGAGGTTAAGCCTAATGTAAACTTTTTAAAATAATAATTGTGGCTATTGTATCGTTAAAAATTATTTCTTTGTTTTTTACAAACAAAATAAATATCTTGAAAAATATAAAAACAAAAAAAAAATTATACTTTAGAAGTTAATCTAATATCAAAAGCGTTTGATTCAGCATGACACACAGTCCTCAGAAAAACACTATACAAAAGTGCCAGTGCTGCCAGCTAAAACACACCCACATCAACAAAAAAAAAAAAAAAATTGGAGTCGCCCAAGATATAGCCAAAGATTGCAGTGCCACAGCACTAGCAAAAATTTAAATTTGCCGATTGGAATGCTTTTGGTTAACCGATGTTTTGGATAACCGGCTTTCGGATAAATGACACTCTACTGTATAATGTTTACATAGCTGTTGCCTAACATACAAATATTAAAAATTTATAACAAAACTATTTGATTTATATAGTTCAGGAATGCTTGTAAAACTGTTAAAAAAAATGACAAATTTTGATTATAAATTTAATTGAAATATAGACAGTGAACATGTTGAAAAGTAATATTGTGATGATAGCAGATATTAGTTGGGAATATATCAATAGATAATAATTTGACCTAATTGTATTTAACCATTAGACTTCCAACAGTTCACCAAATAATATAATGTAAGAAAATAAGATATTTTTACATAATTTAATAAATGTTGTTATAAATTGTGAATATGATGATGGGTATTATGTGTCAAAAATTTTGTTGTTACAAAATAATTTTTGAACATATTTAAATGATAAATAATCATTAAAAATCTACTGAGATTAATAAAAATGGATATAACATATCTAGATATATATATGATTATTATTTCTTGATTTAGTAATCATTATAACCATCAATTTGCATTTAAGATTAATAATTTGAAACAAAATCCATGCACAGTTTTCGATGTTTATGTAATGCATGCACATACAACTACATTGTCAAGTTATTATACTAGTGAATTTATATTTTATTAAAATGCACTTCAGATAAATTTTTAATAATTATTGAACATATTAAAATTTAAATAATAGAAATAATAGATTGATAGGTAATATTCCCTCTAATCTTTCTACAAAACAAATATTCAGCACTGATCATTACTAATTTGTAAACATGTTTTGTAAATATATTCCAGAGGAGCTTAATCTTACTCTTGCATGATCCTTATCTATGCAGATTGTTTGCTTGGAAAGTGACACCATGGGCACATCAAGCATTTTAATTTTACCTTTAATCACTATTCACTTACATATCTACTGTTAAGTATTCATTGTTACTTATGTATTATTTCAAAATGACAGCAAAAATTTCTTTGAAATTTATAGAAGCAACAGCAATTTTGTTTTGAGGCAATTCTTATGAAGTTATTTTTTGCATTAATTGGACAATTAGACCTTCTAATTGAAAAAATTAATTTGATAGGACACATTTAAAAGTTAGAAATATTAACAATAATTACCATAATATTATAAGTTAGTCTGTTATAATAAAATACTCAGTTGATAAATAACTCAAAAAATAAATCTAAACTTGTGAGAAAATATGTAATTAAAAATCTTTTATTATAAAGAATAACTTTGAAATAGAGAATTTGTACAATTTTTACTTTAAATGAAAATTGGGGTGTTTGTAAGTAAATATCTTTCAGTTTGTATAGCTTGAATATTAAGGAAAAACATTCAGGGTTTGTGTTGTCAGAGAGCAGTAAATCTGTTGAAGTCAATAGTCAGTTTGATTGCTGTGAAGATACAAACCTGTGTAAACCAGAATTGCACAGCACTGAATATTTTTTCTGGTTTGGCAGGTTTCTATTTTGAACAGGTTCTTTTTTAACATAGAATGTTAAATATAGAATGTCTTCAAGAACATAGTCAATGTTCTTGAAGAATTTTTTCCATTTAGACAGATTTCCTTTTTATTCAGGTTCTATTTTGGACAGATTTTATTATGTCTTTGATGTTACGATTATAAACATGTATGCATGTAATTGATGTGATGACTTTGGAAAGTTCAGAAGTAATGTATTTCACTACTATATAATAATAATACAATTTCTACAGGTATAAAGTTACAAAGGTTCAATGATGATGATAATTGTGGATTTTCATATGCAAAAGAAATTAGTAAAAATTTCTGAATGATCTCTCATTCTGTTGTGAAGAATTACATTAATCTAATTATTAAAATGTTAATTTTTACTAAAAATAGTAATAGTATCATTTTACTATTACTATTGAAACAAGTTTTAATTAAAAAGAATGATGGCTGAAGTAGAAAAACAATTTTCAAGGTTTTCAGGGAAATGAAAAATTCTTAGAATTTCCATCAATTGAAATATTTTGATTAATGCTTTTTAGTAAAATTTAAATTTTTAAAATAATAAAATGTGTAGATTTTTTTCTTAAAGAATAAAAACACTATAGAATTGTAATGCATTTTCTTCTAGTGATATGCCAAACCGCATCAAAACTAATTTAAAATAATAAACTAAAAATTAACATTTTGAATGTATTATTATTGGAATTAATTGTGAAATTTTAACTGTCTGTTTTTTTACATAATTGACTTATTAAATTGAAAACTATATAGTAATATATACAAGCATACTTCATTCCAGAAATCTTTTTTTAAATTGAATTTTGTAAATAGGGACAAGTTTATTCATTACATCTTAGAGTTGAAGTTTCTATGTTGTTATGATGTAACCCACTCACTCTGTGTGTGTTTCCTAAATAATATTAAAATACTACAAACCACTTGCTTATCTTTCCACCAATGATTGTAATTAAGAAAGTTGATTAGGGTATTTACCAATTATAAAAAAACTAATACAAACTAAAAGAAGTAAACCTGTAAGGCATTAGACATTTCTTTATTTAATGGTAAGAAAGTAAAACTTATTTTCTGCTTGCTTATTGTCTTAACTAACTAAAATAGAATAAAATAAAATTCTATTCATTGATAAAGATTTGTAGAGATAAAATTTACTAAACTGCACAACTGGATTAGGACAAATGAATACATAATGTAAATAAAACAAACTGGCTCCTTCTTTACATTATGTATTCATTAACTGTAGAACATCAAATTTTCAATCTTGTTGCACTCTGGATTTGAATATATTGTTGTAAATGTTGGTTGATGCTTGTATGGAATATTTATGTATATGTGTGTATTTATAATTCTCATCATTTTATTTAATGGATATTATATTTTACAGCAAGATTATAGAAATTCAATGCCAGCATCTAGTTACCAACAACAAAAGTTAAGAGTGTGTGAAGTGTGTTCAGCTTATTTGGGAATTCATGATAATGACAGACGTCTAGCAGATCATTTTGGAGGAAAACTTCATCTTGGATTTATTACTATTCGTGAGAGACTTGATGATTTAAAAGTGAGTTTTTCTATTAAAGCTTTTATTGAGACTTTGGGCATTATTCTTATTTAATTATAATTAATTTTTTGCACTAGTTAAAAAAAAAAAAAGAATTATTAGCTTAGCAATAGTATAATTGTTTTCTGCTGTAAATTTTGATTTTAATACCTCAATCATTTTATCATTTTATAATTTATTCCATTCTTGGTGATTTTTAAAAATTGTTTTGTTACAGAAATCTGTGAATGAAAGACGTCAGAAAGCAAGAACTGAAAGAGATAGAGAATTTGATAAAGAAGAGAGAGACTGGAGAAATAAATGGCCACCCGTAAGCAGAAGTCGTAGCCGCAGCAGAAGCCAAAGTCGACGTCACAGGTACATCAAAGTCTATTATTGTGTACCCATATATTATAAAATAATTATTAAAGAATGGGATTAATTTGTCCAAAATGTAAATTATTTATAGAATAAAAACTAGTTATTCATAAAATAAGAGAGTGCAATGTGCACAGTTATGAAATACAATGGATAGCTGTAATCAGCTAATATATTTGGAAAATTTTATTGGAAATGCAATTAAATATAATTTGTGCATGGAATTGAAGAAATTTAATGAGTTTTTTTATGTTTGATAACAGAATTTCATACTGAGAACCATGTACTTTTGCCAATCTGAGCTGCACTTAGTCTGAACCAATTTTGTTCTTTTATTTTATTTTTAATTGTCTACTTGGACATTACTCATGAATAGGACTTTACACTGGTGTTTAAAAATTGACATAATAATGAGAGTTAGTTCAGAAAAAACAAATTTTCTTTATTAAATCACCTGTAGTAGTAACTTTTTCTGTACCCTTAAATGTGTTTCGGGCTAACACACCCTTCACTAGCAGTATTACTACAAACCACTACAAGCAATAATAAGATATATTGTATATTAATTATGAAATAAATTCTTGGCAATAAAATATATATACAATGGGTGATTGTTAATGAACATAATCCGTTTCAAGACTTTGTTCACTATCCGAATTGTTCGTTAACCAATTATCGATTTACCATAGGTTTTTATGGGAATTTGATTAATTCATTCCGGAGACTCCAAAAAATAAATATATACTTTTTTACTATGTGTATTTATATGTAACAGTAAAAATACATATATGTGCAGTCTTGCATTTTTATTAGTCATGTTTTTTCCCATTTGCAGGGGTTAAAGAATCTGTCCAATGTCCATTGCTTTTCTCTTCTCTTCAGGATTTTTCAGAAGTAATTAATAATATTGTAATTGTAGAGATCCCCAATCTCATTAACCTTATTCTGATTTAGATGTCACTTTGGATGATCGTTGTTCTGACATCCTTCCACTTCTTCAAAAGATCTTTAGTAGCAGACATCGACATTGATCCTCTTTTTCAAAAGAAAATGCATTTTGCCAAGTTTCTTGGTATTCTTCATTTGAGAGTTCTTGGGGTTCTTCTGTTGTCAGATCAGTTTCAGGTTCCATTATGAGCTCTAAAATGCTCTTTATTTCTCAGATGTGATTTTCACTATTCCATTAGCAGCTTGAGACTTCTTGATATATCTTTCATAGCTAAGATTGTGCCTACTGTAGACCTGTCCAAGCCATACTGCCTAGCAACATCAGACATCTTGTTCCCACTTTCTACCTTGGCTATTATCTCTTACTTGGTTTCTATGGTGAGCACAGTTCTTGACACACCTCTTTTTAGGCTCCATAATAATATCAGTTTCTCTTTAAATAAAAAATTCAGAGAACAGAAATCAACTAGCCCACAAAAAATTGTTTAAATGCAAGGCCCAGAGGAAATTCGAAATTTGGTTTTAAAACGTTAATGAATATCTGATGGGACAATTAAACTTTCACCTTTCGTAAATAAATCTAGACACAAAACTTAACAAGTGCCTGTCCGACAATCTCGTGAATACTATAAAAGAATTGTTTGTCAGAAAAATAAAAGGCTGAATTTACAAAGGAGAGTTTCAAAATTCAGAGGAATACTATCCGATCAGTATATACCGGGTTGAACGTCGATGTTGACATCTCTCGCGCTCTGGAAAGTTTCAAATTGTTGCCTGAAGACAAGAGGAGACCAATCAGTATTTATTGTTTTGCATCTCTTCACCTTGTGTTTATTCTGTGAGGTGTTTGCTATCTGAACATGTGTTCGTTGTCCGAACATAAAAATCTTTTGCGAAAGTGTTCGTTATCTGATCTGTTCACTATCTGAACTGTTAACCGATCACTCGCTGTATTTTTTAAGAACTTGCAGTAAACACATATCCTAATATAATGTAAAATTGGATTATATTTCCAAAAATTACAAATTTACATAACTGCATTTTTCTGTATAAATAAAATAAAGCATTAATTTTTTTAAACTTAAAAAGGACATCAAGATAAGGTGATTCTATCAACCATTTATATACTTTGCTCTTTGTAAATGTCATCAAATATGGTGTCCCAGGATTGGTGGATTATTCTTCCTAAATTATTATTTATTCTATTTCTTTCTTTCTTTGTTTATATGTTCATATAATTGTCTTTTGTAATTATTAGACTCTTTCTTTTTAATATTTATTGTATTTATATTTATTTGGCAACTATAATTATTAGTGTTCTGCTACAGCAGAATTTGCATAATTCCCTTTTATTGTGCGTGCGTGTTTTATTCTTGTTCCTAAGGTCCTTTTAGTTTCACCTACATAAGTTTTGGGTGGATCACAACTACAATTAAACGAATAAACTATTTCTTTTTCTTCCATTGAATTTATTTTTTTGTCAGACCTGTGATATAAATATCGTTTAAATAAATTATTTTTTTCCGGTATTAGATTAATTTTTCCTTTTAATATATTTTTAACTCTCAAAAATTTTTGGTACATATGTTAAATTTACACATTTTTTATCTTTATCAAAATTTTTAGTTTTATTGCTATTACAATTAATCCAGTTTACCATTTTTCTAAAATTTTTTGGTATAACCATTAAGTAAAAACATTTTTATTACTTGCTCTATTTCTATATCCTGATTTTTGTAATTTACTTGTTCTATTTTTAATTTTATCAATATGCATTTTGAAGATATTAAATTTCAAAGCTTGTGGAACATTAGATTTATAATTAAGTACCCTTGGTATTTGCATAGGTTTTACAAATTTTTTGTATTTTAAGTTGTTATCAGTTCTATGAATGGTTATATCTAAATAATTTATACAATTGTTACATTCTTTTTCAACTTCAAATTTTATATTTGTTTCTATTAAGTTAGCCTGTTTTAAAATTAAATCTTCACTAGTCTTTCTACTTCGAATAAAAAATAATACAATCGTCTACATACCTATTATAAAATATTATTCCTTCAATACTGTATTGTTAATTTTTTTATCTATATCTATCATAAAGATTTTAGCAAGTCTTGGGCTTATATATGTTTCCATTGATATCCCATCTGTTTGACTATAAAAGTTTTCACCATACTTGAAATTATTATTCTCCATTATTAACAAACACAATTTAATAAACCAATTTGGAGCATTAATTTTCTGCAAAGAGTTTCAATATTTTTGTTATACTAGGGTACATATTTTTTTGTCTAAAGATAACAATTTTGTATATTCATTAATTATAATATTTTCATTATTTAACTTTTCTAATAATACATCACCATTTTTTAAACTATAATCTGAAATTTCTAATATATTAAGCTTATTTTTAAAAATTTTTCTAAATTATAATACACCCAATTTCTTTACATCAATTAAAGGTCTATACTTAAGTGGATTTTTATGCATTTTTACTCTAATATTAAATTTTGATATACAATTGTTTTCACTTTTAATTCTTCCAAATTTTTCTTCTGTTATTAAATTTTGTTTTTTTAAAGCCTCCAATTCCTTATTTAAACTATTTGACATTCTTTTATGCGGGTCATTTTGTAGTATTTTATAATCTCCAATTATAAACCTTCCTTATCAATTTTGTTCTTTTTTTCACTGTTTCATCCAAAGACAAAATTTATGTTTTATTTTTCAAAAACTTGAATTTGTAAAATTAATATGTACTACATATTTTAACCTAAATATAGATACCAAATAAGATTACAAACAAATACACACTTAAAATTTTTTTAATTGTTTTTGATTTTTCTTTATACAAAAACCTGCTAATCTGAACTTTTTACTATAACCTTATAGAATAGATGGCTGGATGGCGGAGCAGTCAAGGTGGCAGCCTAACACACTGGGGGATCCGGGATCAAATCCGGATGGGTCAAGGAAACCCCCGAGAATTTTTCGGGGGTGATCTGTTCGGATATGTCGGGCCCCGTCCCTTACCACCCGGTCGCCTCATTGTGGGCCTGCTATAGAAGGCCCTCTTAGTGCCCACCGGGCAGAAAGAGTAAATAAAAAAAAACCTATAGAATAATTAGTTTGGATTAGCAAGCATGCACTATATGAATGATAACTAAATAATGTAACTGAAAATATTAATGATATAATTATCAAATAACAATAATGACCAAAGTTTTTTTCTTGCAAAAGTGTTAAAAGAAGAGAAATTTAAAATAATTGTACTTCAATTATTTGCCTTTACAAATTTAAAATATCTACTGAACTAACTGAAAGCTGAATATTTCTGCTTTGAATATACCTGATAATCAGTGATGTAGACAAAGACCAAATTAGAAAGCTACCTGTTAGTTTGTAATAAAATGCAATTTTTAAATTTTGTTAATATGAAGTTTCTATAATTATTTACTATAAAAAATGTTTTGGAATTTAATTTTTGAAATGAAAGTTATTGAAGTAATCTATAGAATCTACCTAATTGTAAATTAATTAATTAAATTATTTCAAAATAATGACACTTTTAGTCTATACAACATGGTCCTGCTAATCTTAACTAACAGACCAGTGGTAGTTTGGATTAACAGGAATATGATGGTAAGGTTACGCTTACACCTTGAAGCCATTTTTTTATTGTTGTTAAGTCAAACAGTGTCATAGAAAGAATGAGCTGCAAGTGTACAGTTGACAAGTCCATTATTTTAGTTAGTAGACTGGTAGAAGCTGTGTGGATTAGTGTGACCAAAATGTAATGTAAAATATATTGAAAAGTATTTCCTAAAAGTTAGAAAACAAACAGACAAACTATTTAATCCTATGTTTCAAACATGATTAGCATCTTTTCCATAATTTGTCATTGGTGAAAAAAGGCTTAACTATTTATTATAATAATTATAAGTAATTACTGTATTCACCCAAATAGTTATTGGTGTCTCCAGTTTCAAAGGAACAAAAATTTGCTCTTATCCAAGTTTGATTTATATTTCAGTCTAATTAAAGTTTTCTTCAATTTCAATAACTGTCTGTGGTATATGTTGTACAGAGTTAAAGCAATCCTAAAATTTGGTGTGTTTATTGTTTAGCATTGCTAAATACCAGCTAAGTTGTGAACTGTCATACAACAGTCTACAAACTGTCCTTTAGAATTAAGTGTTATGCATGATTGTAAATTACCAATTATTTGATTGTTCAAAAATAATAGACTAAAGTAAGCCCTTTTTTAAAATCTTAATCACCAGAATCAACTAGTTTTAATAACTTGCACAGAAATTTTATTTTGGTAACTTTTTTATTTTAGTCCTATTAGTCTACTAGTCAAGTGATCATGAAACATTGGGAGAAAGATTCCTGAAAATTTACCATGAAATTTATTCTGTTTTAAATTATAAATATTTCTATTGTAATTATAAATTCATGTATTTGATATGATTATATGTTTTAAACTTTATAATTGTCTAAAACATTTTTTAAAGAAAATACGACTAGCAAAAATGAAACAAAGTTAGTTTATTTTCAATAGTCGTAAAACTGCAAGTATATTTTCCAGGATACACCTGAAATATGCAAGGAAGCCTCCTTCCCCTAGTGTAATATATATGCTGGACAGTCTACCACCAGGCACACAGAGTATTGTCTTGATTTCGTTCTTTAACTTTTATTGATTCATTTTTATTTGCTATGGATAGAAAAGAAGCAATAAGCTACAATTTGTCACTAATAATATAGGCATCCAATGCATATATCTTTTTGTGTAAAGCAAACCCTTTGAGTGCAATTTTCTGATTGACTAGGTATGATTTAAATGTGATTTGTAAAAATTACTATGAAATTCAATCAAAAATTAATTTATATTGATTGATTCCTAGATATTTGTAAATACAAATTGTAAAAATTTCACACTTTCTTAATTATTATCAATTTGGTACTAACAAATATTCAAATACAGTAAGACCCCGCTTAATGCGGGGGATGTGTTCCTAGATGACAAAGCACTAAACAAAACAGTGTTAAACGAGGCCATTTTAACATAGAATAAATAGGGATAGGGGAACATGCAACTGAAAATAAAAAAAATTTACTTTAATTTTATGTTATTTTTATATTAATTTGTATAACAATATATAGGGTGCATAGGAAAGTCCCTTTAACCGGAAAATTCTTGTGAATGGAGAGAGCTACAGCTATGCAAGTGAGGTAACGGTATAGTAAAGTGACTACACCCGACTTAATGCAAATGACAGCAGTGCCACTAGTGGCGAAATTTGGAAGATAGGCAGTGTAAATCAAAAACAAAAACAGAAGCAAACTTTCCAATTAGAAAGTTTTAGAGTATCAGTTAATTAGTATGAAACGACATGTGGTTCACACGGATAAGATAAATCATCGCCTGTATACCCAAAAATGTCCAAAAGTGATGCACGCCATTTTGTGTAAACATTTGAAAGGAATAGCCATAGGTATAAAGAAATGCGCACAATTTATTGCATAAAATACGTACTTAATCAATACAATTTGATAACATCACACAAAAAACAACGGAAATGCAAACTGTCACACAGTGATGACAAGTTAATGTAAAGTATGTTTGAAAAGTTTGCCATTGCTCATGTATATGCGTGTCATGAGATTAATTTTGCATGCACATTTCTCATCATGGAAAGTGTCACACTATTGCAAGCAACTGTAATACGATGTAGATCCAGCAGACTTGTATATGGAGTTGCATAAACCTGGTCTTTTATGTAACCCCACAGGAAGAAATCCAACAGAGTGAGGTCCAGTGATTGTGGAGGCCATTCAACACTTCCACCATACCCGATAATTTGTTGTCCAAAACAATCTTTGAGAAAGCTTCACACTCCAGCTGTCTGGTGTGCAGGGGCACCATCATGTTGGAACCACAAGGACCATAATACAGACAGGGGAATATCATCTACAAAGTCAGGTATGATATCCTGTAATAGTTGGACGTACCTTTGTCCGTTTAATGTGCCTTCATAGAACACAAGTCCTAGTAAGCGACCCTTCCAAATACCATACCACACGTTAATGGACCAGCGCACTTGGTGTCTGGTGGATAGTGATTTTCCATTGAGGATTTTCACAAGGGGTTTTCCATCACCCAGTAGTGGGCATTGTGTCGGTTTAGTAATCTGGTACGTTGAAACAGTGCCTTGTCCGACCAAAGAATGTTGGACAAAACATCTGAGTTACCTTCAACATTAATCAATGCCCAGTTGCACCAATCAAATTGACGCTCAATATCCCAAGGCAACAGTGTTTGCTGCAGATTGACATGATAGGGATGTGCATGTTGACCATGCAGTATTTGCCATACTCTGGCCCGTGTTAAGCCATAAGCCATGCTGATATCTCTTGTACTGCTGTGTGGATGGGCTAGTGCATATGCCAAAATACTCTCTGGCGTTACACGCATACCTGCACTCACTGGTCTGCCAGAACACGGACGACTTCTAGTGCTTCCTGTCTCCCTGAGCCATCACACTACGTTTGCAATGGTAACTTCACTTGGATGTGGCCCAGCTGGAAAACGAACGGCATACTCCCGTGCAGCATGCGTCACATTTTGTTGGCATTCACCATAAATAAGCACCATCTCACAATATTGGAAGTCAGTGAAGCTCTCTATTCTCACACAGCTCCAAAATTCTAACTCCAAACTCCAAGAACAGATTATTTTTAATACACTACTTTCAGATTAATTGATGCTCTAAAACTTTCCAATTAGAAAGTTTGCTCTATCTGTTTTTGATTTGCACTGCCTCTCTTCCAAATTTTGCCACTAGGAGCGCTGATGTCATTTGCATTAGGTCAGGCGTAGTTGCTTTACTATACCATTACCTCACTTGCATAGCTGTAGCTTTCTCCGTTTGCAAGAATTTTCTGGTTAAAGGGACTTTCCTATGCACCCTGTATGTTAAATAACACATAAACATATGCACACAGATATGTATAATAAATAATATATTAATTAGTTCATTTTTTCTATATTAATAGTTCATTTTTTGTGACAAAGATCTTGTTCTTGTTTTTTTTTGCAATAAAGTTATGTTTCATTTGTCGTTTTTTTTCTTTCCTTAAGCAAATGTTGGTAGTAGAAGATCGCATCCAAAATGCCTTGCTTTGCTTTTGCACTCCTTTCAAAATCTGGATCATTCGCTACAATTTGATCAACGATTTTGGTTATCTTACCAAACTTTTACTAAGGAAATCTGTAGTGTTTTCAGAATCACTATTTTCCAGTTCTACATGGATTCCTTGTTCTGCCAGTTCTTGAAGGTCGTCATTGGTAAGGCTCTCACCAGAAACCTGCTGTAACTCCTCAATATTTTGTTTGTCTACATCTAGTCCTGCTGTATTGATTAGGTTAACTTTGGTCAACCTAATGATACAATGATAGGCTCTTCTCATTGAGAATTCTTGAATACTTCAGTCATAACTTCTTCCACACTCAGTTCATGCATTTATCAGTTTATTCTTGCCAAGCGAAGTTGATATTGCCTATGGCATCCATGATCTTATATTTTTTTCAAAATTGCACCAAACAAAACATATATTTAAATAAAGTACACCTTTTGCCACCTTCTGATTAGTTCATGTTCGTAAATAACTGTATTATGTACGAATGGATAAAATGCTGCGATAACTTAAATCGGCATAAATTTTGAGCTTTTTTAAACCCCTTTTGAGCAGCTAATTAAGCATAAAAAATACTTAAAACTGAAAAAAAAAAACGAAAGAAATGTGTTAATTTTGGTTAAAAAGCTTCATCATTTAGTTTCCTTTGTCTCGCCTTTCTGTGAAATTTAACACCCATGAGTTATTGTTTACACATCTGGATGACCTTGAACACAGCTGGAGTCGGATTTCCCGGGACATTCTCATAGACATCGCGGGAGGACAAGGGTTTAAAGTAGGGTGACTTCAATCTGGCGGTATATTTTTAAATATTTTTAAAAAATTATAATTTTTATTGTGATTTCCGACCCCCCTAATTAATTAAACATCTATATAATAAAATCTATTAATTAAAAAAATTAAAAAACTATCGGAAGTCGTTTTTGACATCAGAAAGCAGCTTTAAATAACTTTACTGAAGGAAAATCTGTGCACTACAACTTTAGAACGATTAATTAATTTTATTAATTTAATTAATTTTAACATTAAGCCTTAATCGAGCCTTATCAAAGGCTCATTAAAATCGCGATAAAATTTTTTCGCGCGGGCAAAAAATTCTGAAAAAATTTGGGGACCTAGAAAACATTCCAAAAATTCAAAAAAAATTTTTTTCAAAAGTGGCCTTAATGACCGATTTTTACATAACGCTATAAAACTTGCTCGAGTCACACTCGAGCGCGGCTCAAAAGGGGTTAAGGCTTTGAGCAGACAGCGTTATATCGAATCAGCATTAAGTGGGTCTTACTGTATTATAATTTTTTGGATAAAGAAAAAATATCCATATACTCATGTTACTAGTTAAAAAAAAACAGGTTTTGTAATAATTTTCAAATAATTGAGATTAATTTGAAATTACAGATTGATTGCAATTATAGTTCCAATGAAAATATACTTATTATAAATGGTATCAAATTTATTATTATTGAGAAAGTTACATTTAGAAATTTGACAGTTTGAAATATTTTAACAAATTATTTCACAGAAGCATTACACTTAAAAATGCAATAATTATTTTATTTTGTATAGATCTCGATCTCGTTCCCAAGAACGTCGTCACTATCGTTCTCGTTCTAGATCACATTCTCCACGTTCTCGTCATTCTAGTTCTCACCGTTCACGTTCCAGAGATCGAAAAAGGAGAAACCATAGCAGAGATAGAAGTCGGGAAAGAAAGCATCATAGATCATCAGAAAGGTATAAAAGAAGACATTCCAGAGATAAAGAGAGATCATCTGAAAGGTAATCCTTGATATAATTTTACCTTTTAGTTTATAAATTTACTACAAGTTATTTTTAAAATAGAATTTAATCAGTTTCTGATCTAAAACCATGCATTTTGAAAAAATACACTATTCTCTACACTTTACACTGACTGTAATTTTATTCAGTGAATAGTTTATACACTGCCTTTGATGCAAGTTCTGTATTTTGCAAATCATTTCAAGATAGTGAATAGCCACATCTTGCATATACAGATAAAGATATTCAGCACTTGTCATTTAATAGAGAGTGCATAATCTGTATCAGTTTGCTAAATATAAATGCTGGTTCTCATTATGACAATCTGTAGTGGCAAGTGGCAGAACATGATGGAAAAGAAGCACATGTACAATCTAGGTCAATCTTAACTTTTACGACAACAGCAAACAGAAAAATTAAATATTAATCATCGTGAAAATATCATTTGCATTGATGTCGTCGTGGATGATTTTAATATTGCTGCATGCAAGAATTGTCTTATTTATTTGATTGGGATTTCATAATTAAAAGAGATGTGTTCTTTATCAAATACTAACTTTTTTCATATAAAATTGCACTGTATGGAAATGTCATGGTAACGATAGTCAATTCCACATTGGGGAAACTGTATTGTCAATTTTTTAAACTCTTTGCCCCGTGGGCACTACGAGGGCCTCTTTTTGTAAGCCCATTATGGATTTGGCCAGGCCCACAATGGGGCAACTGGGTGGTGAGGGATGGGACTTGATATATTCCAGACGGACCACCTTCCGAAAAATTCTTGGGGATTATTCGATCCCGGGTCTTCTAGAGCGGTAGGCTGCCACCTCGACTGCCATCAAGGGGAAACCGTAACGGAAGTTATTAAAACTGCCTTAATTATGACAATGCAATGATTTAAATATTTCTCCAGAACAGCTTTTAAATACATTTTCTACAATTCTATTGATATATGTAATTTACATGTATAGGAATATGCATTTTATTTTTACCTTAACTTTCCGGAAATTTTTTGTCTACCATTAATCTGGAAAAGTTTAGTAGAATTTCGAGAGTGTATATGTACATTTTGTGACATTCAATTACGATTTTCTGAATTTATTATTTACTGAAAAAAGTATCATCATGGATGATTATTTGTGTAAAAATGGTTTTCTGAAACTATAAGAGATATACTCTTTGTATAATTTTATATCAGAACAACATTGCTATTGGTGGTATTTTGCTGTTCATAAATTAAACCAGCAACATACATTAAAATTTCCTGTTTTTGCTTCTTTTGTACATCTATCTACAATATTTTGTGGCTACTAAAAATATACTAATGGGATTGAGGACAGATTGGATTGGGGACAGTTATTGGAAAGTGAAATTAGAGAGATAACATTAAAGTAAATTGGAATGCATAATAAAATTAAAGATGGCATTTCTTTGTAAAAACTAGAAATATTTTGCATGCATTGTACGTTCTTTCAAAAAACATAACTAGTATATAAATTAAAATTTTGTCTTATAAAAATTAACTTATAATTTAGAACAACAAAAGCACTCGACATGTTGAACCTGGGACCAAATGTTTTCAGTCACGATTAAAATAATTAGAGAAAAATGTCAATGTGTGCCATCTGGTTTTGTGGAACAAGTGTATTTTTAGAATTGATTGCCGGTGGTCACGAGATCCCCCGACAATTTTTGCTCACTTGGCCCGAGTGCCCGGCAGTGGATGCCAAACACAATGCATACAAGATTCTAACAAAGTGTGCTTCATTTGTATCTTTTGATACGAGAAGTCGTTTCCATTTTTATCTGGAAGAATGCTAAAAATCTTTTATATTATTTGGCTAATATTAATAGAAGAAATTTGGCAAGCAAGAACTTCAAAATGAATTGCTCCTTGTTAGAAGAATCTGATGAACTGTCAGGAAAGATAATGACAACAACAGTGATGATTCAGAACGGGCATTGAGTTCTGCTAGCAGTGAGAAGTAAGATGAGGTATCTAATAATGGTAAACAAATGTTTCTGCTTCCACTTAGAAGTTTCTAATGACCATAACATTTTTCATTTTGACACTCACAATACAGGACCTAATCCAAATATGGTAAACCAGACAAGAGGAAAACTCTGACTTTTTTCTTTATTTTATTGAACATAAATTATCGAGATATTTGTTAGAGAAACAGATACATTGCCCAAAGACTTGATAGAAAAGGCAATAAAATTGAGACTACCGAAAGAGACCGACACTAATTCGACCAAAATGAAGAAACTTTTAGGTTTGATAATATGGATGGGTCTGGTAACTTTACCTGAACTTAGAGATTATTGGTTACAAGAAGTTGTGACAATAAAATGTCTAAATCAATTAGCCAAAACAGGTTTGAATTACTGCCAACCACATTTCAATGATGAAAACAAGCAATCTGATAATTGACTCCGGAAAATATCAGTTTGAATTTCATTTGTATCAAATTACAAAGTAGCAATTATTCCAGAAGAGGTATGCATTGATGAGAACTATGTAGCTTTTTGAGGAATAATTCATTTTCCTATATTTCAAATAAAAGGCTTTGGCACGAAATAAAAACGTTCAAATTACGTCTTTCTGTGGCTATACACAGGCCTTCAAAATTTATTTGGAAAAGAAATAGTCAATAGAAGTAATGTTCTTGAAAAAATAGTGTCACCTTAAATAATTGTTTGATCTAACAAACTCTCCGTAAGACATTATCTTGTTATATAACCAGTACTCTGGGGTCTAGCCGTGTTTTCGGCATAGCACCTGTATTGGGTTGGGTGATACGTACCCACGGAACAGACACTGGATCATCCGATAAGTAAAATGCACATAAATTCGCCGGGCGGCACCGAAGCCTACAACGAAAACATCCAAGGGCGGTCGCTTCGTCTCGGTAATAAGAGATCCGGCGACCGCCCGAGGTCGTTCGGTATCCGACACGTTAAAGTCGACGGCCCGGCAAACTTCTTGGGCAAAAATTATTTTTACGCAAGTTACGGACAATGACAAAACCTCCGATATAGTTGCTCGAGTGTTTCTAACAGGAAATCAGTAACTATCATTAAAATGAATTGCTTTTATTCTAGAAATTAAATATATTTTGTTTTAATATGTAGGATTAAATACTAGATTATCAGAATACATTGTAATTATGTTCTAATATGTTAATGTGTGCTTAATTTTGTACACTTATTTCAAATATTATATTTAATGAATTTGATTTACAAGAAAGTAATCCTTTTTTCCTCTCCATTTGTGGAAATAGCTGAAAATTTTCTTACCGGAAATTCGAATTTGCAGTAATTAGGAATTTCCAAGTATGTTACATTTTGTTTCAAGCAAATGAAATTTGATATTATTGCGATTATTTAAAGTATTTTTGTTGTTTCAGGAACATGCCAAAGGAAACGAATGGGTTATCATATTAAACACAACGACGAAGATTGAAAAAAAATTACAAAATTTGTTTTAATATCATTAAAATAGTTTAAATAGATGTATCCGTTCCTCATAGTAACATTATTTGCATTCGTTTTAAAATGAATGAATTTGTATAACAACACAACAGGCAAAATCTTTACATTTGTGCAGTATTTTTGTCATTTAAAAAAACCGTACGCTTCGGACATGGTCACCGGACCAAAACATTAAAACACAAAAAAATAGTCTGTGTGTGAATGCTTTCTTTCCCTGGGTACATCTTTCTGTACAGCTGGTTTTCTTTAATAAAGTAGTTAAATAGCTATTTTACATCATTTACCACACCTATTAATGGAAATAAAAATATTTATAATTATATCTTGATTATAAGTATGTTGTGTTTGTTATATGTGTACAGTTAAATGATCCTCGTGGATACTTTTTCGTCGGTCGACGATCAACTGCCAGAAACTTTATTAAAAAACTTCGGTTAATTCGACGCATTCGTTAATTTTTTTAGAAACGTCAGAGACTTGCGGATATTCTTCGGTTATCTTTGTAGAAAGCGAATTTAGTTCAAAAAGCCTTCTCCGTAACTCGACGTGTTCGGATTTCCTCACGTCTTCCGAATGAATCAGCACTAAGTATTTCCCCTTCTTTATATTTTCGTAATATTTTGTTTTCTGTTGTTCTAGAGATAATTTCTTAAAATTCTGTTTAAAAAAATTCATTTAGTAGTTATTTGCATTCAAAAGAACATTTAAAAATTAATACTATTCATAAAGTTTCTTTTCACTTACAAATAACACAGCATTAATAGTGAAGTTTTAAACAAAATTCTATAGTATCTAAAAATTAGTTATTTTTGTAAGATCTAAACCACAGGTTAATAACCTTTTTTGGTCTACCGCCCCCTTTTCAGAAAAACTTATGTACAGTACTACCTCCGTGGCAAATAGTTATTACAACAAAAATATATTTTTAGTAAGTGGTCCATATAAGTTATGCTTTGAATATGATCTATAGATACTGTGCAGAAATTTTAGGTTCACACTTGCTTGAAGGAACTTTATCCATATGAGATTACAATAAATATGTGAAGCTTTTTGAAACAATGTTTAATGAACCTGTCAAAACATGTATAGATTTGATATTCTGCATGCGTGCAAGCTTTGTGATCAAGCTAGAACATATACATACACTGTGGTGCTGTGACTCATTCATGTACTAGTCAAAAAGGTATTAGGAACAAAGCTATAAGGGTGCGAATGAGAAGAGGTGGCGATGTTTGTGCTGTTTTTAGCTCTCATTTATTACGACCACGCGGACAAGAGCGTAAAATGTCGTCGCCACATATTCTCGCTCGCTCGGAAAATTCACACCCTAACGTACCAATACCTACTTTTAATACGGACCGATCTTGCTTAAAAGACATTTAGAACTATTTGTTGAAACATGCATTTGGCGATTTTTAGTATTAATCAAACTTTTTGGTACATTCTTGTGAATATTGCCCAGGGGTGGCAATCGGTCCTAGATGTTCCCTAAATTTGCTTTGAGCCAAAAAAAAGTCTCTCAAAAAAGTCTGGGTCAAAATAAACGTGTATAACAATAAATGAAAAGTCTCTACTTTATTACAAGTTGTCAATTAAAATGCCAAAGAATGTGCATTAGTCACGAACTGCAGAGTTGTGTTCCAGAAGTTCTATGAAGAATCCTTATTCTTCTTTGGAGAAAAAAACATTAAACATCAATGTATTGTACATTCACTATCAATGTTTTATAAAAATACAATAACAGATTTTTGCAAGAAGCTCAAAACTGTTCTTAAAATTTCTTTTTAACACTTTCAATCGACACTTGCAGTATTTGAACTTTAATGTACATTTAAAAATGTTTTTGGCATTTAATTATGCAGAGGAAACACAGATGGTGTTTTAAAACAATGCAGTCATAAATGATGTTAATTAACGAAAATATTACAAAACATCATATGAAAATGCTTCATCACACAAAAACATTTCTTAAATGTGTTATCTTTATTATATGTATATAATGTGAGGCTCCAGAATTAATTCAAACAAAAATTAAATTGTAAAGGAATTACTTTTTATCTCTGCATTGCTGTTATGAGGTGTCGGATTTTCAGATGGCGAGACACTGATGCCGGACTTTGACATAGTCTTTGTTAGTCAGACTCGGGACGGTGTCAGATAAACCGTTAAACCGTCCCGGGCAGACTTTTCTCTTCAAACGGGGCCGTGTCGGTAACACTGCACTCGTTTCTAACTAGTGCTTTACTCCTCCCACCACTAGAATTATAGCTAGTTTGGTTAGCTTCTTTTATCTATGCCTACTTCTAGTGATGTCTTTGTTTTTCTCTCTTACGATATGCAAGATGGCTGCTCGTGTTGGATTAAACATATTTTATTATAACAATTACAATGTTATTCTCTCGTTTAAATCATTAACTCATTCTAAAATGACTTTGAAATGTAAAATTATCATGTGTTGGCATAACAGATTCCGAATACATTTTAACGGAAGATAAAGTCCATTTCGTTGATTACAATTAATCATTGCTTCGTTAATTTTATCACAATCTAATGCAGCTTCTGTAACAATTGTTTCAATCGTAATTTTAACTTAGACAACTTAGAAAAATGGTGGACAAACTAAGAATAATAGTGCTCAGAACATTCTTAGCTCTGCCCACTAGGCCACCCAGAATTCTAACTTAGGTGTTCTGTGTTACTGAACATGGCCCTGGTCTCGAATTCTACCCGGAGAGCAATAGGGGAGCAAGAAAGGGGATGCCCCCAACCAATGGGGAGAAGAGATGGAGACAATGTTTGCTCCATTAGGCATCCCCTTGTGGATGTTCCGCTCGATCTGGCAACTCATTCGAATTGCCCAATCTGTTCGTTCGTTAGACTATAAGAACTTCCCATTCAAGCCGAGAATTCCTACTTTGCCGTTGACCAGAAATCAACTTCCTGCAAACCTGCGGACCTGTCAGTCTCCGAACTTCAACTTACTGCTGCCCCAAAGCGTGCCCCACGGAGACAAAAACCCAACAAGGATACAAACTACAAATCTTTGGGACAGACCTATAGAATGTAAGCATATAATGATGTGATAAACATTTTTGTAAACACTTGTTTTTTCCTGTCTCTAGAACTGCCACCCACAAGGGCCATAGACTATTCTGATGAAAGGGAATAAAATTCCCCCTCTAATAGGCCTGCTTACAATAACACGGAAAATATTGGAATTGTGTCAAATTTGACCCTCTGCATTTTGAGACCTCCCAAATCCAAAAATGGCATATGTCTTGGCGTCAATTTTGTTTAATATCTTGGGATGGGGTAATGATGATGAAACAAAATTTAAAGCAGTAGTTCGTGTATAAAGGGCATGGTTGCTATTCAATTTTGGTTATAGATCACGGAGTGGGCAGATAGTTAGGGGTCGTGTATCGTAACTCGAGTGGAGTTGGATTGTGAGGATCTTACTCATTTTTAGTATTTATAATTTTATACAAAACTTGTTTCTATCCTCTAAATTAAACTATTTGCAGTTTTGTAATTATTAATAGTATCTAAAGAAAAAAAAACTTTTAGAGATGCCATATATCTTCCAATAGACACCGTAAGGCTGCATTTATGCAAACACGAGAGGGAAAACACGTGAAAATGCACTTTTTCTACCAGAATTTGCCATCACCACACCATTTGTGCAGAAGTGAGAAACAAATTTCTTGCACAAATACGCGAGAAGTGCACACAAATGTCTATACTTTAGACCCCGTGCACTAGTTCTAAATTATGCCGCTGCGGCAAACGGCGCCAATAGCTGTTAATAATGAAAAATAAGTTACTGACCTTTAAACAAAAAAAAAAAAAAACATTATCAAACTAAATTATGAAACAAAATCCATAAACATAACATTCGGACTCGACTCCTTACAAATAATGTATATCACTGTGATCAACTAATTTTATTTCGCTCACTGTTTAGTCACTTTTTCCTTACTGGGAGTCATTATTCTCACTTATTTTGAAGTAATTTTCTGTTCCGAGGCCTGTTTTCTTTTAATACGGCACAAAAGAATGGAGTGGTCAATTTTGCCTTCCTAAATTTATGCAGAATTACTCTATCAACTTTAAAAATACATCTGGCTTTAGTATATTTGATTCTCTCTTCCTCGATCAAGCAACGGATCGAGTTTGACCTTAAATAAAATTGAGGCCCGTCATGTAGCCCAGTATTATTTAGTCCCATAACAAAGCGCTAATATATTTCTAACAGAACAGAAAACTGCCCAAAAAGACATATATAGAAATTTACCTTGTATTTTTCTTGATTGAATATTTCAATTTCTGCCATTTTGTTCTTTATTTCGAATTCCAGTCTGGCCAAATAGATTCTGTACTCTTCCGCCTTAATGTTCGCTTTTGATTTTTCATTTTCCATTTCGTAAAATTCTTTCTCGTATGCTGACAGTTTCTAACGTTTCGGAATAAATGCCAAAAATAATTAATAATTTTGAAATTTTTGCCATTTTTAGAATGCAAAGTAAACACCTGTTTAATCTGATTTAAATTCCTTTGAATGTATTCTTCTCTTTTCGGCGAACGACTCTTCTTCTCTCTCGTTTTATTCAGTTCGTTACGAATCTCGATCTTGGCATACAGTGCCGCGTGGTGCAGTATTGACTTTTCTAATTCCTGTCGGAGCACTTCTTGTTCTCTCTTTAAATTATCTTTTTCTAACTGCATAAATAAATTATTGAATTTTTTAAACTGCATTTTTTTATATATATTCATTTCTCAAAGAAGATTCTAACCATTTTTTGATGAATTTCCGACCTTAAACTTTTTAACTCGTGAAATAAGTGATTATGTAGGGATTTTTTAGTTTCTTCCGCTTGATGCATCTTCCTCTCCCACAACAATAATTCTTTTCTACAAACAAAAAAAAGTCGACCACATTTAAAATTTCTACAAAAAATGAACGAGTAAAAAATTAAAATACTTAACTCTTTTTTTATAATTTCATTATAACAACTTTCATTTTTATGCTTCAAATCGTTTAACTTATTTTCCATCTGTATATATTCCACTTCTGTTTGCTACAAAAATTTAAATTATGCATTAAGAAACTATGCTGAGGTTTTTCAATCATGTTTTCAATCGTAAAACTTTGTACGAGGTCTGTTCAAAAAATACGTGGACTGTTTGAATTGCTCGGCTCCAGTTGGTTCCAGGGGAATCTGCTCGGTGTTGCTAGGTTTGTACAGATCGTCTGGTGATAAAGCCGTTTCCCGATTACAGATATCTTGATTTGTTGATTAGCTACGTGGTTTTTAGTGATGTGCGATTTTTTCATTTGTCGGATTTCAGAATGAATGACCTGATGGAGCAATGACTTGCTGTGAAATTTTGCGTTAAACTTGTGGAAAATCTGCAAATGAAACATTTGCTATGCTCAACACGGCTTACGGTGATGTTGCTATGAAGCTTATGGCATGTTTCAAGTGGTCTCCCAGACCCAAAAAAGCTCGCCAAGTTCGATCCAATGTCAAGGTGATGCTGACAGTTTACTTTGATGCTAAGAGTGTTGTTCACCCCGAGTACCTCCCCCAAGGCTCCACAGTGAACCAGACTTACTACATTGAAGTTGTGAAATATCTGAGGGATGCCATCCATTGCAAAAATCCAGAAATGTGGAAGAGTGGCGACTGGTTTCTCCATCACGACAATGCTCCAGCCCATTCAGCCCTCAGAACTCTTGAGTTTTTGGCCAAACACTCAATCTCTGTTCTTCCCCACCCCTCCTACACACTTGACCTTGCTCCTTGTGACTTTTTCTTGTTCCCCAAACTCAAAAGACCCTTCAAAGGAAGAAGATTTGAGACGATTCCAGAGATTAAGGCAAATGCGACAAAGGCGTTGAAGGACATTACAAAAGAAACGTACCAGGACTGTTTCAACAAGTGGAAACACCGTTGGGATAAGTGTGTGTGTTTGGAAGGAGAGCACTTTGAAGGGAACCCAGACATGTAACTTCTATATAAAGTACATTTTGTTTTATGACATTAAACCACATATTTTTTGAACAGACCTCATAAACCTAAGCATGAATTTGTTTTTACTTTGACAAACACTTCTGAAATTTTGCATAATTGACAGATACTTTCATTAAAGTGAAAATTTGGAAAAGTGTCTACAATGAAAAAGTATTAACTTATTAGTAATGGTACTCACTTTTAATTTATCCATAAAATTTTGTTCCGTCAGTGAAAATTCTTGCGTCAGTTTGCCATGAACGCTCTTCTTGCAACGAAGGTTTGAGGTTAATCGTACAATGTCGTTCTGAAGGTTTTGAATCGTATGTTCTACTCCGGTATTTTCTTTTTTCTGACACTCCAGTTCTTCTATTAAGAAAAGATAAATCGCTTAAAATATCTATAAAATCATTTTACATTTACCAAAATGTTCCTAATCTTAGTAATGCAGAAATAAAGATGTTGAAAGATGTGTAAACAAGCAATTTTTCACATGTAAGAGTGTGTTCTTGTGTGTGTAACAGATTAAATAAAATGTTTTGAATTTACAATGTTTTACTCAACTTTTTTTTTTCACATATTTTTAATTTTTCTACCTAGTAGAGAGTATTTCTACCAGAATAGAATAAAAAAAAAAAAGTTTGATGCCAAGTGCCAAAGGCACAGGATGACTTAAGTCTGCTAAATACGCATATCTGAAACTTAAGGATGGGCGACATTTGTAAATGAATACAGATAACCATAGACCAGGGGTCGGCAACCTTTTGAGTCGGAAGAGCCAAAATTACAATTTACAAAATTTCAAAGTTTTTAAAGAGCCACAAAATTTTTTCTTGCCAACAATAAATAGTACTCGCATAAATAAAGTTTTTTTTGATAAAAAAAAAAACTAATCTATTTATTCATATATAAGTAGTGTTTTTCACAACAAATTAAATAATAGAAACATCCGACGACGGTGTCATTCGAGAGCTTCCGACGGATTGACGACAGTGACGACGNTAGTTCAGCAACTTTGCTTATAACGGGGTCACGGGGAGGGGTGCGGTGAAAAGCGAGTACAAGTGGCTGAGAGATAGAATCAGTGCCTAATCCTCATTAATCGATTCAGAACGATTTTTAAATGTTTTTTTTTTTTTTTTGATAAAATAAATAATATTTGCGTATGGAACTAAAGAGCCGCAGCTTCACATCTAAAGAGCCACATGTGGCTCGCGAGCCACAGGTTGCCGACCCCTGCCATAGACGAATGCATACAAATATGGCAAGAATGCATATTATCCTGCGTAACATCGAGTATTACTCGATATTAACACAGGTAATACGCAACAACTTTATTTATTTTTACAAGTAAAAGCAATAAATGTAAGTGTTTGTCGATAAGATACATACAGCAGTTGGACATAGGCGGAGAATGAATGAAAAGTGTTTGCCAATATCTGGCAGAGAGGCCCATCGGTATGGAATACATCTGTTACTTGTGCCAAAATGTAGGCGTGTCTTATATGCTGTAAAATTTGGTATATATACTGGTGATTGTATTATAATTTTTCTTTGAAAAAATACTTCAATTAGGAGGTTTTTAATAACTAAAGAAATAACGAGTCAGTATGTGAATTTTACATTTCTTCGTAGCCACGTGATTATGGCAAAACTTGCATGTTTGAGAATGATAAAATTTTATCTGTAATTTGGTTCAAGATTTAATAATTTTCTTTATATCTTCATCATTGAATATTCATCATTTTTCTACATATCTTTAGAATCTTTCATATCTCTCCTTATTGTATTTAAGTGTCAAAATAATCTTTAAGTGAATATATTGATCAATTTGTACTACAGTATATTCTGTTGTTCCTTGAAATAAATAAGACCATTTATAAGAGATTTATCTGAAAGGAAGAATTGAACAAGTGACAAAATATTTTTTGGAAAAATAATTATTGTATTTTGAAACAAAAGAGCTCTCATTCATTTCATGAATTTAGATTATATTTCTGAAATACAAAATGCATTAGACAAACTTTTGTTCATTATTATAAATTTAAAAAAAAAAGTTTGATACTGAAATATAGCGAAACAGATATATTGATTTCAGAATTCAAACAATGAAAACTATTGCTATAAAGCTATAAGATTAAATTTAATTACATGATTGATTATATGAATTAAATTACAAATCACTGAATAAAAATTAATGATCAACTTTGTAAAATTTCAGGATTTACTATAAAGAATAAATTTACAAGTAATAAAAGGATGCTTTGTACTTTGCAAGAATGGAAAAGAAAACTGATATTAATAGTTTAGAATAGAATAGAAAACAACACCTCACAATATATTTCTGTTTGCTTATGGATTTGAAGAAAAAAGTGAAGCAGCAACTGTTTTCTTGTGCTTTATGTCAGAATTTTTTCTGTAGTTTCTATTGTTTATGCTACTACTAATGACCTATATTTCAAAATGAAAATACTATGAGTAGATTTCACTTAAATGTTCAAATGAATTGAAAAGCAAAGAAAAAAGAATAATAGAGAGATATTTTGTTCTGNTATATTTCAAAATGAAAATACTATGAGTAGATTTCACTTAAATGTTCAAATGAATTGAAAAGCAAAGAAAAAAGAATAATAGAGAGATATTTTGTTCTGGACATGTAACTTCTATATAAAGTACATTTTGTTTTATGACATTAAACCACATATTTTTTGAACAGACCTCATAAACCTAAGCATGAATTTGTTTTTACTTTGACAAACACTTCTGAAATTTTGCATAATTGACAGATACTTTCATTAAAGTGAAAATTTGGAAAAGTGTCTACAATGAAAAAGTATTAACTTATTAGTAATGGTACTCACTTTTAATTTATCCATAAAATTTTGTTCCGTCAGTGAAAATTCTTGCGTCAGTTTGCCATGAACGCTCTTCTTGCAACGAAGGTTTGAGGTTAATCGTACAATGTCGTTCTGAAGGTTTTGAATCGTATGTTCTACTCCGGTATTTTCTTTTTTCTGACACTCCAGTTCTTCTATTAAGAAAAGATAAATCGCTTAAAATATCTATAAAATCATTTTACATTTACCAAAATGTTCCTAATCTTAGTAATGCAGAAATAAAGATGTTGAAAGATGTGTAAACAAGCAATTTTTCACATGTAAGAGTGTGTTCTTGTGTGTGTAACAGATTAAATAAAATGTTTTGAATTTACAATGTTTTACTCAACTTTTTTTTTTCACATATTTTTAATTTTTCTACCTAGTAGAGAGTATTTCTACCAGAATAGAATAAAAAAAAAAAAGTTTGATGCCAAGTGCCAAAGGCACAGGATGACTTAAGTCTGCTAAATACGCATATCTGAAACTTAAGGATGGGCGACATTTGTAAATGAATACAGATAACCATAGACCAGGGGTCGGCAACCTTTTGAGTCGGAAGAGCCAAAATTACAATTTACAAAATTTCAAAGTTTTTAAAGAGCCACAAAATTTTTTCTTGCCAACAATAAATAGTACTCGCATAAATAAAGTTTTTTTTGATAAAAAAAAAAACTAATCTATTTATTCATATATAAGTANCGATGACGGGGTCACGGGGAGGGGTGCGGTGAAAAGCGAGTACAAGTGGCTGAGAGATAGAATCAGTGCCTAATCCTCATTAATCGATTCAGAACGATTTTTAAATGTTTTTTTTTTTTTTTTGATAAAATAAATAATATTTGCGTATGGAACTAAAGAGCCGCAGCTTCACATCTAAAGAGCCACATGTGGCTCGCGAGCCACAGGTTGCCGACCCCTGCCATAGACGAATGCATACAAATATGGCAAGAATGCATATTATCCTGCGTAACATCGAGTATTACTCGATATTAACACAGGTAATACGCAACAACTTTATTTATTTTTACAAGTAAAAGCAATAAATGTAAGTGTTTGTCGATAAGATACATACAGCAGTTGGACATAGGCGGAGAATGAATGAAAAGTGTTTGCCAATATCTGGCAGAGAGGCCCATCGGTATGGAATACATCTGTTACTTGTGCCAAAATGTAGGCGTGTCTTATATGCTGTAAAATTTGGTATATATACTGGTGATTGTATTATAATTTTTCTTTGAAAAAATACTTCAATTAGGAGGTTTTTAATAACTAAAGAAATAACGAGTCAGTATGTGAATTTTACATTTCTTCGTAGCCACGTGATTATGGCAAAACTTGCATGTTTGAGAATGATAAAATTTTATCTGTAATTTGGTTCAAGATTTAATTTTCTTTATATCTTCATCATTGAATATTCATCATTTTTCTACATATCTTTAGAATCTTTCATATCTCTCCTTATTGTATTTAAGTGTCAAAATAATCTTTAAGTGAATATATTGATCAATTTGTACTACAGTATATTCTGTTGTTCCTTGAAATAAATAAGACCATTTATAAGAGATTTATCTGAAAGGAAGAATTGAACAAGTGACAAAATATTTTTTGGAAAAATAATTATTGTATTTTGAAACAAAAGAGCTCTCATTCATTTCATGAATTTAGATTATATTTCTGAAATACAAAATGCATTAGACAAACTTTTGTTCATTATTATAAATTTAAAAAAAAAAGTTTGATACTGAAATATAGCGAAACAGATATATTGATTTCAGAATTCAAACAATGAAAACTATTGCTATAAAGCTATAAGATTAAATTTAATTACATGATTGATTATATGAAATAAATTACAAATCACTGAATAAAAATTAATGATCAACTTTGTAAAATTTCAGGATTTACTATAAAGAATAAATTTACAAGTAATAAAAGGATGCTTTGTACTTTGCAAGAATGGAAAAGAAAACTGATATTAATAGTTTAGAATAGAATAGAAAACAACACCTCACAATATATTTCTGTTTGCTTATGGATTTGAAGAAAAAAGTGAAGCAGCAACTGTTTTCTTGTGCTTTATGTCAGAATTTTTTCTGTAGTTTCTATTGTTTATGCTACTACTAATGACCTATATTTCAAAATGAAAATACTATGAGTAGATTTCACTTAAATGTTCAAATGAATTGAAAAGCAAAGAAAAAAGAATAATAGAGAGATATTTTGTTCTGAATGAATATGGACAAGCCTTAACTCCAGAAGTTAAAGAAGGCATTATACATTGAATGTATTTGTTTAATTTTTAATACTATATAAATTAGTCCATATTATTCCCACAACAAACCGGTTTATATATTTTATAAATACAGTAATAGTTTTTTATTTTTTACTCTCTAGCCCTGTGGGTGCTACGGGACCTTTTTTTGGGCCCGTTGTGGGTTCGGCATGCCCAAAATGGAACGATCGAGTGGCAAGGCACGATAATTTGTGTATAAGGGGCATAGATGCTATAAAATTTTGGTGATCGAGGTCGAAGGGAGGGGAGATAGAGGGTGGTCACGTGTCATATCTCGCATGGGGTTGGGCTTAATAAATTTTTCCAGATCTTTATAAAACTTGTCTCTATCCTCAAAATTAAGTCCTTTATATTTTTTTAATTATTATAAAATAGCAAAGTTTTTATAACAAAAACCTCACAATAGATGGCACCACATGTAATTTTATTTATTTATGATTATTACTAATTAAAAAATGATGTTTTTTTAAAATAAAATTTCATAGCAGTTGGGAAAGTTACACGACTCCTTGCTAGATTTTTTACTTAATGTAGAATTATTTATATAATTTGATAAAGTATTTTAGTAAATTACATGATTAATATTTACCTTCTATTTGTGATTTTTTTCTTTCATAAAGAGCAATTCTATTAATCTGATTATTGATTTCTTTTCTTGCAATGTCAAATTGATAATTCAAATTCATTAACGTGCACTGCGTAGAAAACCACGTCTTCTCATTTTCCGAATGATCGTTCTCTGTAATTTCAATTTTTGACAGCACGTGCTTCACTTCGTCTTTTAAAACAGAAATTTCATCTGTCTGCAAAGAGAAAAAGTATATTATTATCAAAATTTAAAGAAAATCTTAAAATAAAATTTGAATAAATATCAGGTTGTAAAGGTGAAATATAGACATTCTGAAAAATCTTTGTTGACAATTAACTCGGTAACAATTACAGTTCAGTGTGACCGGAGGGTTGACACCTCTTTGATGCCCTATCGGGACCAACACTGTGTCCCGATTGACATGGAAGCCGAGACGGCATGTTGATTCGGTCACGCGAGCAGCCGCACATGCAGGTGATTGTATCCGGGATCTAAATTAGGGTTGAGAGACAGTGTACTGGAAGTAAAATACTCAGATACGAAAGTTAACAACTAAATACCCTCAACGAAGAGGAATACGTGATACAATATATCAACTTATCCTATCGAGCTAGTAATTGTGAAAGAGAGAGCGTTTACAATTGTTCACGAGTCAGGAAATACCTGCGTTGATGGTGATGATTCCTGATTTGAGATTCTCGAATTGAGGTTGAGATTAAGATCTTGAGGGTGAAGATGCAGATTGTTGGACCGGTCTGAATCAAGAAAGTTCTTCTAGGCACAGTGGAAAGTAACAGAAAAATCCGACAGAGTACTGATTGAGCACAGAAATTGGCACTGACACAAGAAAAATTTTGATGACTTTAATCCAAGAGTGACTGGCAACGACTGACTTTTTTGGCCATCAAATCCGACATCAGTGCAACATTGCCTGGCTAAGAGGTCAGCAGATCACAGGAATGCATTGCTTTTGCTGTCAAGAAAATATAAGGGGAGATTTTTTCAGGTAGCTGAGGACAACAATTGTTGAGCAGATATGACAACATCGATGATTGATTTTTGTTAAAATTTGGAGTATCACATCAGTATTATAGGTAATCACCATCAATATCAATTGCATTGTTGATTTGCTATAAACTTTCAATCCCATGAGCATTGAATGACTAAAGTTTTTCTTTGAAAAAAGTCTCAAACATTATTCCCACATGGGTATTGTCACCAAACTGTATATTGGCAATATAATTCCATAGGATGTGAAACAGATGATAGTCAGTTGGTATCAAGATAAATTGTCAATTTTTGGAGTGCATGGAAACACTCATTCTCTAGTGATCAGCTGTAGATTATCATCTGTCAGTTTCAGGAGAATGTCATCAATGGTAGAATCACTTCCAGGATGAGGGTTAATCTTGAAGCAAAAAATCTCCATCCTTCAGTTTCTCGAATCGATTGTAGTGGGTTTTTCTGTTGACCGTGGTGTTCTTGCCATATTCCTTGCAGATGGAACTGTGAGTCTGTTGCATTGTGGCCATTTTTTGAAGTGATAGAGCAAAAGCATGCAAATGTGTTTTGAAAGTTTCATAACTTCAGACATTCATCTATTTCCAACAAATACATGATAAATGCCCTCTGGTTACTCTTCTTACATACCCACATCAAACATACTAGAACATTATTTTCTAGTTTCTATAAAAAATGGAAATGTCTAAATTTCACCTATTTCACTTTTATTTATTTATCAGATTTTAAATCTGATAAATACATAAAAGTGAAGTAGTAATTTCTTAAAGATGATATTACGACAAGTTGGACAAGGGGGAGGGAAAAGGCTGTGCTTCAGTGGATGTCTGTTGTTTTATTTCATTACATTTTATATAGTTTATGCATTTTATTATATTTATTTCAAAATTTCTTGTAAGTTTCTTTTTTAAAGAGAGTTTCTTTTTACAAAATACCTCTCTTGAGCTTGTAGTGAGGGCTTGTGGCAGAGATTTCATTTTTAACCATTATTAACAAATCAACAATATATTGTAATGCAGGTCTACCAACCATTAAATTAAATTAAATTAAAATATTGTTACACCACATGGTGGAAAGGAATCTATGGGCTGACCTTAATCCTAAAGAATTTGGGCTATTTGAAGTTTGTGTGCTTTTGATTACCTCTTTATTTTGGTTTAGTATCTTACGTACAAGTACAATTACCATACTACTGTACTGTACATGCATGTGTACTAAGCAGCGAAGCCTACGCACACAAACTAACCTGCCAAGTGGTTGTGTCTATTTATTACGGAAAGATTACTTCAGGATTCTGATACCACCCAACAATAGTTTGAAAATTACTTGAGAGATCTTCAGGAAGAGTTGATCTGAAGGATGACATGGCAGGGACTGACAGATGGTGAGACAGGCATAGGTGATAATCCCACTAGGAGACTATCCAAGGAATGGTTAGTGCATCCGAGGAAGGGAGACTGCGAGCAAACAACAAAAGGCAACCAGCCAAGATAAACTTGAGTTGGATCGATTAAAATCGACTGATCAAGACAGACTGGTCCTTCTATCCAGCTTTCTCTAGCTTCGGGTCTCTGATCCCATTGACCAACGACCTTTTTCCCTCGGAATCATCATTCTCGTTGAAGGGTGCCCAATCAAATGTAAATTAAACTTTAAACTAAACAAATGTAAACTAAATTTTATTAAAAATTTTGAAAAGAATGTGCAAAGATTAATTTTTTTTTTAACAATTTAAGTATGGCCAAGGAAAAGGGTCATATTAAAGGGTAACCTGCAAAATGTTCTGCTCTACTTTCTATGCTTCTGAAGATAATGCTTTTATTTTGCAATTGATATATTATTGAAACTACTGCTATAACTTACCAGAAAGGCCACAATCTTATAAGAGTAATTTAGATGTAATTTCATCATTTCTACTTATAGTATCTATCGTTCATAAAGTTTTAAGGGGGGTTGAGTTTTGTTGGACATCCAGAGGGGAGGGGTTATAGAAAATTGGACAAACTAGTACAATGGAGAGGGGGAGTAAAAATGTCAAGAAAAATGCAGATGTTATTTATGGACAGTCCCCAAATGCAATTAGAATTACATTTAATTAATTATATCATACTAAGCATTATTATTAATTTTTATTTTATTTTTTGAAATTTTACTCTTTTTCCATCCAACAAATGTTAAACAGGGGACATTATTGGTGCCCACTCTGGATTTGACCAGGCTCACAATGGATGCTTATTAAATAGTGAGAGAAGGGAGAAAATCTACAGAATTTTTTAAGGATCCAATTTAGACCTGAACTCTAGACACTCTTATAGAGCAAACATCTAGCTATCATTCAGAAAACAATTCAGAAACAATTTTAGAATATGATAAAAAGCTAAAGTAGAACGTCGATTATCCGAAAGAATTCCAGTCGGCAAATTTAAATTTTCATCAGTGCTGTGGCACTGCAATCTTTGGCTATGTCTTGGGCTACTCAAATATTTTACGTTTTTGATACTAAATTAACTTCTGAAGTATAATTTTTTATTGTTTTTATATTTTTCAATATATTTATTTTGTTTGTACAAAATAAAAAAATAATTTTTAACGATACAATAGTCTTCGTTAGGCTTAACATCGACGAAAATTCAACGCGAAGCGACACGCAACGGAGAAAAATTTCAACATGGGATAGGTTAATATATTTTTTCGTACATAATCGGTTATCCGAAATATCGATTTTCCGAACAACCCCAGTCCCCAATTGATTCGGATAATCGACACTCTACTGTATTTATTTTCTACACTAATAAATATAAGCTTAATGCCAAATCAAAAACACTGCACCATGTTCAAGTTTCAACAAATAAACTGCTATGTTGAGGAAACCAATAGATTTATTTGAAAAGTAATATTTTTGGACTTATTTGGCCCATCATCAGGCTCTTCCACTAGGATTTGGAGCAATTAAAATTTTATATAAAATTTTAAATGTAAATTATTTTACACTTATCTGTCAATTATCTTTTATAATTGTTCTAAGTCCTGCAGGAAGAGCCTGATGATGGGTCAAATAAGTCCAAAAATGTTACTTTTCAAATAAATCTATTGGTTTCCTCAACATAGCAATTTATTTGTTGAATCTTAATGATAAATACATGTGATAGGGTTTATAACTTAAAACATTTAAATCAATAAATTACCATTTCTTTCGAATGATCAATAAATGAAGCTGACTTAGTTTTAAGTTTATCAAGATGTCTATTTTTTATTTTAATAGAATCCTCCATCTGGAATTGCTTTCTCCAACAGGCAGTGAGGTCTTCCTGGCTTTCTTTGACATTCTTCTCCAAATCATTCAATTGCCGGTTTAAATATTCTAAACTGGATTTAGTATTATTTAATTCAGAAAGTTTTTCAGTTAATGCATTCTCTGCCTCTAGGGAATTTGTTTCCTTTAAAAAAAAAAAAGCAATATATCATTAGCATCAAAGCATTACCTTTCAAAATTTATTGGATTTGAATAAATATATTCATTGTTTTATAATAAAACAATGGTACTGACTTAAAGAAGTAAACAATTATAATAATATAAACCAAACAACATTCTTGTGTTAAGAGAGAGATTAATTTTTAAAATATTTGCTAGTATTTTCATTCCTTACATAAAACTTCATTGGATAAATCACTTGCCTGACAAAGACTTAACATAATTGTTACACATTGAGAGAAATATTTATTTACTAAGGACTCAATGGATTACATTTTAAATTCTAAATTCTAAATAAATAAATTGATGCCACATGTTAGATGATAAGCCTATCATCTATCATGTGGCATCAATTTATTTATTTAAACTGGATTTAGTATTATTTGACTCTTGATATCACAAAGTCTGTTTCTCATAAGTAGAGTTTTCTTTTGGTCAACCTGTATATATATGTTGTTTTGTTTACTTTATTATAATTGTTTACAAACCTACAACTTGTAAACCCAACATACAATTTAAAGAAATAAATAATGTATAGTTGTAAATATTTATAAATGAAACCTAATTTCAAGCCAAGAAATGATGGACCTTGATAGGAAAAGTATACAAGCCTACACAACTTTTTAAAAATTAATGAATTAAATGTGATCTAATTTCTTCTATTACTATAATTACTGTTATAACTTAAAATAAAAAATAAAAATATAACCAATATAATAAGAGCAAATTGTAATACTTTGTTTTGTTATAATTACAGATATATATATATATATATTAT